AACATGAAAACTAAGGTACATTTTTGCACAATTTGGTATCCCAGATAAACTGAAAAGCGATAATGGCGCACCATTCAATAGTCATGAGTTTGAAGAATTCGCTAACGGCCTCGCAGAACGCAGTGTTAAAACCTTCAAGAAGATTGTTTTGAGCTCTAAGTTGGAGAAGAAAAATTTGAGGAAGGAACTTGACAATTTCTTACTGAATTATCGATCTACGAAGCACTCAACAACCGAAATGGCGCCCTTCGAAGTAATTTTCGGCAGGCCTATCAAAACTACACTACCCATTTTATTCAACGAAGAGGAATGTCAAGATAAAATGATAAGATAAAAGAAGTGAATGAAAGGAATAAACAAAAACAAAATAATTACGCTGACAAAAGAAGTTATGGATCACCTACGTTGGTTAAAAGAAGATCAGTTAAGAATCATCTGTTAAACATAGGAGATACGATTTCGTGCAAGCAGCCTGAATTGAATAAATTCAGTACTCCCTATGACCCCAAACCTTATAAAGTCGTGAGGATATTAGGAAATCAGATAACTGGAGAGAGAGAAGGAAAGCAGATCGTCAGGAACAGCTCATTTTTCAAGAGATTTTATTCTTCTCATGCTGATGGATCATTTTCGAATACAGATGAAGATACTCAATTGCCTAGAACTGAAATACAGGATACTCCAATCTCAACATCTACAGTGCCGAATCAGGGTGATGAGATGGTAACGGAACCTGGAAGAATGGAAGAGAACTAGACAGAGGAAAGCCTACCTGAGAATCATTATGAGACTGAGGTTGAAGAACAAGAAGAAATGCGTGACGAAAACAGAATCGTTGAAAATAAGAGACCACGAAAGCGCCCAGACTATCTCAAAGATTTTGTTACAGAAAAGGTTTCATTAGTAACTCCACCATAGATAGTTCATATTTAAAGTGTGGAGGAAATGTATAGTGTTCACTCGTTATATATTTATTGATAGGAATGGTTGGCGTCTACGAGATGCCATGAGGTGACAGTTGTCAAATGATAGATTGATTTGAAGTGTGAATAAAAACATCACGATCTACTAATTAACTTATAGTGCAAACACTCAACATTAGCTGAACACCAGTACAAATATGACCGTGATGTGGATATAAGTGTTTGAGGTCGACGAAAAATTTAATATAATAATAATAATAATAAATCGTCTTTATTCATCATTTGCAGAAAAAAATTGCACAAATAATGCTGTTGTTGCTAGCCTCGGCTATCAATAATATATGCATACTCGACTATAATAGACTATAATAGACAGTTTTTCGTCCTTGGTACACAAATATCTATTTTCTACGGCTATAACACAAAATTGCTCTTGTTTTACTGTCAATGAGGTAAATACTGTCTGTAGGTTAATCGAGTAGGTGGTACGTTATTCATTATTCCAGATTTTTTGGGATTCTCTCTCCTCGTTTCTATAAAATAAAAATATGAATATTATTTCAATATACGTGTAGTAAGGACAAATCAGATGAATTGTCCCAAAATGTCACTGAGTTTAAAGAATTTTCCTTTCAGAGAGCCTAAAAGAAAAATTCACCAGCTTGTCAATGACAATTTGTTATGAAAAAAGTTTGGAGAAGAGAAACAATGGTATATAGAGAATATATCAAATTTTTACTTAGCTTTGGACGTTTCGGCAACGAATTTGCTCCCGATTTCAACATAAAAAATGGATTTTTTCTGTGACGGGAAAAAAGTTTGGCATTTCATCTCTGTTGGCAGGTTATAAAATGTCACTTTTCATAAATTACTTTTTTCCCGTGGGAAAAAAGTGAGTACTTCTTTCCCGGATATATATCACATATATATACTCTGTTAATGGCTTTTGTTGTGCTATAGTTCCGAAAAATGAGTCAATAATACCGTCTCCGAGAAAGAACTGCAAGTCCTTATATCTTCCATTCGACTTCGCGGTTTCGTATATTACTAAACAACTACTGAATTCGCAATTTTTTAAAATCAAATCACAGAATTGAACTGACAGAAGTGACATCAGATATTTGATTACTTCAAAAGAATGATAAAGATGCCTATAAAACGCAGGTGTCCCTACTGTTAAAAACTTGAAATTTCACGTCGATAATTTTCAGATTTCGAAATAATGTAATATCTTCTCAATATTGATTCGCCCTTCCTTCTGTCACAGAAAAAAACAGTGTATTATACACGGGAAAAATATTAGATTTTAGCTCACGGTTTTATGTCTCCCTCCGCTACGCGTCGGGAGACAACACAACCTGGAGCTAAAATCTACTACTTTTTTCCCTTGTATAATAAATAACTATTTTTGCATGGCAAATTCGTATTTGTCCTGACACTTTTCAGTTCTCATTGACAATTGGTGACGTTGGCATTCAAAATGAGTTACAGGATGTTTTCATTAATGAATCGAAACTAGAGCTGAACACATCCTTACTGAAGATGGATAACATATGGCAGAGTTGAATAACATCAAAATCATTGGAAAAGAAGATAACAACCGGAAGAGAAAAAATCAAGGAATCTGCTTGCATTCTTCTGAACGGAGACAATAGCATTGCTTCCTGTTCAGTTGATATTGGATAGATATAAATAGACCATGTTCTATTTATATCACTACTGAAATCTGAAAATTCGCCTATGGCTCATGCTGCAAACTTCATTCTCGTAGGAAATCACTATCATTCCGTGTTCGTTAAACAATATACTATTCCAGCAGTGGGACTCTGTAACTCGTTTCACAAAGCAGAAGCATAGCGAAAGCGAAGCGAAGCAGAGGCGCATGCTTTGTTTTAACTTACTCTGTATGGTGTTCGATACGCCACGTTTTGCTTTTGCTATCGTCATACGACTTCATACGGAATCAAACGAAATCGATGGAGTTAAATTTGGCAACGGAGCTGTGAATTCCATTTGATCAAAGAAAATATCTCAGTGTATCAAAAAAGTCATTTATGAGATTATGAGGTTATGAAAAACGAATTCTTCGAATTTCGAATTCTCTTGTGGATTTTGCTATCTCTGTATTTTCTCGTTTAATTTTGGTTTTTATTAGAAATAATGTTGCCTGCAAACATAGCGATTTTCAATGCACTCGAACGTAGACATCAACTGCATATCTATAGAGACGAAAGTAGATTCCTTCGTGATCGAAGTGACCCTTTCAGCTTAACAGATGAAAGATTTGTTGAATTGTTCAGAGTCAACAAGGATATTACACATTTCCTGTTCAATGAACTAGTGCCGTTGATGCAACCAGCATCAAGAACGACAAGAATTCCTTGTGAATTGAGAATTCTAGCAACTTTGCGATTTTACGCTACTGGGAATTACCAGAGAGGTGTAGGCCAAGAGTATATCTTAGCAATGAGCCAACAAGTCCTGAGCCGATCTATTCATGAAGTATCATTGCTGATTCAAAACCATTTCCATGGGGAATGGATAAGATTCCCAGGAAATGAACAAATGGCCATGAATAAAGTACATTTTTTTGAAAGATGTGGTATGCCTGGAGTTGTTGGAGCAATAGATTGCACTCACATTGCTATGATAGCTCCCCCAGATGAAGAGCATAATTACATAAATAGAAAAGGATACCACTCAAAAAATGTACAGCTGATTTGTGATCAGGATCTACTAATTTTAAATGTTAATGCCAACTTCCCAGGAAGTTGTCATGATTCCTTCATTTGGCGTCAATCCCTTATAAAAGTCCAACTGCAAAATGATTATGAAAACGGTCAAAGGAATACTTGGTTGTTAGGCGACTCTGGTTATCCACAAGAACCATGGTTAATGACTCCTGTGCAGGGAGCCCTTCCAAATACACCTCAGAAGTGCTACAATGATTCCCACATCCTTGGAAGAAATTGTATTGAAAGGGTTAATGGGGTTTTGAAAGGACGCTTTCGTTGTCTCCTAGGGGAACGAAAACTTCGGTATGGACCTCAAAAAGTGGCAATCATTGTTAATGCTTGCTCCATCCTGCACAATATGTGTGTTAAGTGGAGAGTTCCAGTAGATGAGAATCTCATTTTCCAAGATATGGATGATATCGAAGGAAATCATCCAGAACATCAGCCACCTCTCAACATCTTCAATGAAGGGATTCATATTCGGAACAACATAATCACTAGATATTTTCAAAACTGAATGAAATTAAATAAAAATCTGTATTTTCGGAAAGGATGTTTTAATTGTCTATACCCAATGTGATAATTACCTGTGTAATTACCCATTTTCAGGGCTATCACATTCCTACATATTTAAAAAACCACTGGAACAACAATATAATATGGTGCCCAGAAAGAACTAGAAAATGTCAAACCTATTTATATTATACAGTGTGGTCATTTATGTGTGCAACATATGGGAGTTTTGCTAATTAATTGCACAACCAACATACAAATATTGGCAAAAGTTAGTGCATGTTCAATAATCATATTAGGTACATAGAATGGTTACAAGTCGAACAGCATACAGAGTAGGTCAAAAAATATAAAAATTGTACAGTACTCAGTTATTTCAGAAAATTCAGTGAAATGTTAAGAAAGTTGCTTAGATAAAATTTTAAAAAATGTAGGTGGTCATGTTTTGTTATTTAGGCATAACTTTCAATACTAAATAACACTTCTCAATAACATTTTGCTCAATTTTTTAAAATAAGAGTACTTTACTCTTGTACACTTTTATATTTTTTGACCTACTCTGTATGCTGTTTAACCTGCAACCATTATGAGTGAGCTTAATATGAATATCAAATATGCTTTGGCAATACATATTTGTATTTTGATTGTGCAATTAATTAAGAAAATTCCCATAATATTGAGTGTGCAACATATTATGTTGCACATTCAAATGACCACACTGTACATATATTAAGAAAACAAAAACATTTATTAAGAGTAGATGAACATTCTGTTTCACAAAGTTCATAGTAAGAGAACTTTGATCAATAAATTATATTCACAAAAACAGAATCATTCCCAATTTGAACATAAAAATAAAAAAAATAAAAATATATGATTTCATAAGAAAAAAAACAGTTTTTCTCATTAATAAAATAAAGGTACTTTCATCACAAAATTAGTTTCCACAATAAATAGTGAAAATCTTAACAAGAGGCAAACAAAATCTTATCATGAAAAAGGTACATTCATCACAATGGTTAGTATCATTTACAAAACATTCTTTGTACAACTGTCTGAAAATCTGCAACCATAGCAGAAAGAAATATAAAGGACAGTGTGTTGGTGTTAGTAACAAAAAAGCATTTCATTCTCGATTGTATTTCTAATCAGCAGCAAGGTGGAAAAGGTTCTTGCTTTTAAATTGAAATTATTCAAACTCTTATTACTCATCATATCTGTAGATTATTTGGGATTTTCTACTCATTTCTATAAATAATAATGCCTACCCATAATTTTATTTATAGAAACGAGGAGAAAATTCCAAATAATTTACAGACAGTATTTACTATCATAGTTGAAAATATAAGGTTGGTGCAGAGATGCAAGATTTTTGACAGTTGTACAAAAAATTAGTTAACAAACAAAATTCAATAGAAAAATGGTTCCACTTCTCTATCTGTCATTCAACATATTTACTAATATGAAATGAATATATTTTGATATATTCATTTAGTATGCAATAGGACATCTAAAATTTTATTATGGATTCCACATAGTTCCTCTTGAGAATCACCCAGTCTTTTCAAGTTTGAATTTATTTCTCCTAATATGCCTAGTGTTTCATTATGCATATTTTCTAAATTGACAGTGTTAGAACGCTTCTGTGAAATGAAAGTTTTTTTTTTAATAGGCAGTTTACGTTTTCTGCTATTCTTCACTTCCACAGGCATAGGTATATTTTCGTTATCCACAGGAGAATGTTGTGGTGTTGAGGTGGAGTTGGGTCCATATTTAGCTGTCTCAGACACTATAGATTTATCCATATTAATGTAAGATGATGATGATATACCAATTAATGGTGGTGGTGGGATATATACATTCCTTTGAGACGGAGGCATTGTTTTAAAGTCATAATTGTGTTCAAACTCTATCTGAGTTTCTGGGATTTGTTCAGGAATCTAAAAAAAAAATAGTTGAAAATTTCACTTCAGACCAATGTGTACCTTCAACATTTCAAACAAGAGATTACTGTGAACTTTACTCACAGTACTGGTTGAGGGGCATCCAAGCTCGAGAGTTCCGTCTCCCCTTATTGATGTCCATCCCATGATTCCTATCAACCTCTTTTCAGTTTCAGAAAGTTGTTTTCCTGCTGGACTTCCTCCACCTGTTTTCTTCAGCTCAATTTTTATTTCAGCTGCTTTTGTCCTGACTTTCCCCTTCCAGTCAGCCACAGCCTTCAACAATTAATGATTGAGTGAAGGGGCCACAGATTTGAGTAGAAAAATCATAAAATACTATCTATCCTTTCAATTCTGAAGGATTATACTCACTTTTTGCCACTTCTCGGTGGTTTTCACTATATACCCCATACTATTTAAAGAGCTGGTCAGTTCAGTCCACAACTTGTTGTACTTCTCCCTACCAAAGGGGCCTTCCATTTTTTTCGTCAGAACCACAGGATTCTTCTCAGCAAAATCTAAAAACCGACTCCATTGGCAGGGATTTGTTTTCAATTGCTTATTCATAATACTGATAAAGTGATAAACTGAATATAAAATTTGAGCGAGAGACTATGAATTCAAACAAAATAAACAATCTAATGCGATCTAACCTCAAACCTCAACAAGAATATTGACGAAATTGTGAAACACCAACTGAAAGGAAAGAGATAAAAGCACAATCGCGCAGATCACGCCGCCGAAATCTTGTCGCTTTTGCTTTGCTTCCGAATACAACTTCGGCATTACCGATCTAATCCGAATATCGATACAGAGTACCAAAAAAGCGATAGCATTCGGTTACGCATGCTTTTGCTTTCGCTTTGAGTTACAGAGTCCCACCGCAGGTCAGACACTGTTCCTTCGAGTATCTTCGGAAATTCAGCTGCTGATGGTCTGCCAAGTTCACACCTGAAAACACATTTTTGATGCGCCACTGGTCATTCGGGTAACTTCGGAAATGTTAGCCGCCGACTTGGTTTGCCAAGTTCACACAGATGTTCGATTTGTTGGTTATTTTATTTGACATTGACAATTTGACAGTCATTTTTGATTTTTGAATTTTCTATATTGTTATTGTTATGTATGGTATCTAAGTTTGAAACTGTGATTTAGTTGAGATCTCGGTTGAGATGTTTATAGTTTATAACTTTATAAGTTGCGTTTAATAGTAATCTGGCAGAGAATCAGAGAGTTAAACGAATGAAAATGACTGGAAAATATTACAATGATCAGTGAGGAATCTTCAGAACTTCGTCAACGAAACGAATTGGAAGCTTTACAAGTAAAAATGATGAACGATGAATAATTATTATTGTTTTTCTGTACATAAATTTTTATTCAGGCAATTTATGGATGTGATATCAAAGATCTACGAGGAAAATCCGTGTGGAAAAGATGGAAACCTTTGGATCTTTCAATAACATTGACTCCTCAGCAAGGTAGTTTAGGTACACAAGAAATATATGTGAAAGTTGATTTACATATCATTTGCAATGATGAATATCCCAACAGGTAATGTTTCAAATAATTTAAAAGTGAGATACAATTACATTTCATGACATCATTATTAGTATCCCTAAAATTCTACTGGAAAATGGTAAGGGGTTATCAAATACCACTCTAGTAGAATTACAAGAAATACTGGTAGAACGTGCAAATGAGTTCAAAGGAGAGGAGATGATTTTTCAACTGTCTCAGGATGTTCAGGAATTTTTGCATAAGCATAACAAACCTGGAGCTAAAAGTTTTTATGATGAAATGCTGAAGAGACAAAAAGAAAAAGAGGAAAAAGATCTAATAGCCAAGCAACTTGAAGAGAATGAACAAGTGAGTAATAAGTAGGAAATAGACATTCTTCAAAGAGTAATATTTCAGAGGCAGTATATAATTGAAGAGGTTAAGAGGAGGCAAGAAATGCTGAGATCTGAAACAAAGCATTGGAATAAAAACAAGCATCAATCAGAAAATGATGAACCTTTTGATACCAAGAGAAGATTTTCTTCATCCAATAGGTATACAAATTTCCCTCAGGGCTGGTTGCATAAACATCTCTGTTAACTTGAAAAGAAATTAAATATTTAACATTATTTAATTATCCAATTCTTTATGCAACCAGTCCTCATTGTCACTGATAACAATGTTCAAGTTTTTGGTTTTACAGTTGCTTAGGAACTAATGAGGAGATATATCATCATCAGAAGACTGCTGAAATTGAATTTGGAAATAGAAGTATTCAAAGAGGCTGTTGCTTAGGTGTGTTACACAAAGTATATAATATTTTTCACTCTAATAGGATAAGGCATTTTCTTTTTGTTGTTCTAGCAAATTTAACTGCTGCTTCATTAAACATACATAAGCATATAGTAACTGAAAAGAAGTTATACAATAGAGTTTCCTTGGAGAGTATTTCCCATAGAAAATAATCATATGCCACCTATTGTATGTTCACTTTGTTTTCATTGGTTCATATTTGTCTCTGCTTGTGCCTCCTTTTGTGCTTATTGATCACATCCATCAACTCAAAACAAACTGCTCAGAAGTGTTCAAATTGTTGCTGTCAGGTGGGGCTATGTATTATTTTCTATAGGGAATTAGGGTAGAATATTCATCAGGATGTCCAAGACCCAGGGAGTATGTGATATATTACTTACTAAGAGGATTTTTATTTCTTTGACATACCATACCAATAGACAAAACAGGAAAAATATTTAGTTTACAACCTGGTACAGTTGGTTTCAATGAATGTTTTACTTGAAAAGACTATTGACACAGATTATAAGGTTTGTTAATCTGTGCTATTGATAGCTTTAAAACAAAGGTGAATGTAAATAGTACCCATATTAATTAGCATGGAAAGTATTCTTTCTCAATATACTGGGTGGCTACGGAAGTATTGCCTAAAGAATATCTCAGTTATTGTATGAAGTAGGTTTGTGAAATTCTGAGCGTCAATATAATGACATAAGAGCTAGAATTTGAGCATATTGACATGTCAAAGTTAACTTCTGGTCTGACCAGAAGTAACATCAACTTTCTTATTTTAAATGGAAAACCCATTTTCTTTTCTTTTTGCTTTATTCAGCATTCAATTCCCTTTCTAATGACATATCACAAGTTGGTATCTAACCAGAAACTAGATCAGAAAAAAATTATTATTGAAATTATGCATATGGCGATAATCTGTTTTGTTATTTGAAGAATAATAATTGGATTTTTTGGTATTTCATTTCAAAAAATGACTTTCTATTATATCATTAGAAAGGAATCAAGAAAAAGTTGTATGTTCCTATTTAAGTTATGGACGTACAGAGTTTGTTTTTTTCCCAATTTTTCCAATATTTTTTTTGGCGGCTTTTTATAACGCCGACGAATGAAAATAAAATATCACAGTAGTAGCAACTGTTATCAAGTGACGTATGGTTTCCATAGCCAACTTTTCAATTTTTGGCTTTCATTTTGCTTCCACGGCCTACTCGGTGAATTTCAATAATAATTTTTTTCTGATCTAGTTTCTGGTTAGATACCAACATGTGATATGTCATTAGAAAGGGAATTTAATGCTAAATAAAGTGAAAAGAAAAAAAATAGGGTTTCCATTTAAAATAAGAAAGTTGATGTTACTTCCGGTCAGACCGGAAGTTTACTTCGACATGTCAATATGCTCAAATTCTAGTTCTTATGTCATTATATTGACGCTCCAAATTTCACAAACCTACTTCATACAATAACTGAGATATTCCGTAGGCAATACATCCGTAGCCACCCCTGTATGGCTGATTCCTTCAGATTTCAAGAATACAACACTAAGTATCTTGAAAACAAATTAAGATATTGAAATCTACCAAACAAAATCTCAAATCAGATTTTTTTTTTTCACTTGGAACACCCTAAATTTCATTGCATATCCTGAATGAGTGATTTATTCTGATTTCAAAAATATATTATTTTCAAACATTCCAAGTTGAGCTGAGAGATTATTGAAAATACCATAATTATGTCTGCTCATCCACAGCAATCTTGGATTCAATAAGACGATTTTGCGACCATAATTTCAATTAATTAATCACATAAGATCACACCTCAGTTCTATAGTTAGTATACTCGTGAGAAAGCAGAGAGGCGACATCATCCAGCAATGAATGAGATCAACATGGGCAGGCCGCAGAGAGATGATATCCATAAAACTCCTTCAAATTGCATAGAAATGAAAACATTATGAATTTCACCATTTAATCTGCTATAATAAATAGAAAACACAACACTCAACAAGATCAGATAGTTGTGTGATTTTGTAGCATCCATTCCACCCCTCTCTCACCCTCATCAATATAATTCAAATTCCAACTTAAAGGTCAGGAATTGATTTTTGCAATCTTTTTTTCTTGAAACAGATGTCAAATAGCTTCCTGAACACGATCAGATAGTTGTCTGATTTTGTAGCATCCATTCCACCCCTCTCTCACCCTCTTATCAATATAATTCAAATTTTCTGAGGCTCCCATTTAAGGATGGAGAGTTTCTGATACTTTTTCTGATATCAGGAAATTGTCGTGTACTTTTATAAGGTTAAATTTTGACATTCTCACCATCAGCAGAGTACAAATAAGTAATGTTGCTCAACATCAACTTCACTGCCACAGAAAATGGAAAGCATTCCAACGTTACCGCCTAGTATCGGCGGTAACGATTCCAATCATGTTTCGCTTCGCTTGTTTGCTAACTCACAGACACAACACATTTCATCCTATTTCATTCAATTTCTTATATTCGATTCTACATCTGAAGCTATGATGAAATAAGTTATATTCATTCATCCAACTTGAAATATCCTTTTTGGTACTATAATTTCAGCAGGAATATGAGGTTTTGGGGCATCCAAGAACATCCATTGTCCATTTCAATGTTTTATCGTGTGATTCTCGTTTTCCAATATATTGGATTTTTTCCCAATGTATTTGGAAGAAATAGTTATTTGTTTAACTCGGCTATGAATTCAGCTAAGGCAGTCAATCTACTTTGCTGCCGAGTTGAACATATTATTGATTTTGCTGACACATATCAATCAGCAAAGTATTACTTTTCCTGCCTAGGCAGCAAAGTGATTATACTCAATGGCAACAAATTCAACTCTATATTTTTCGCCACCTCCCTTATTTCTGGAGGAGTAACTACTTTCAGGTCGCTATCACTGTCCATTATATAATATTTTAAATATACCAAAACTCATTTGTCAATAGAACGGCAAAAAATGTGAAGAACAAACACGAAAAGCAGTGGAAAAAATAGTGCCAATGTAGAGAAGTCATAAACGTCTCCCAATATAGTTATTAACGTTACAAGGCCGATATGTAGCAAATAACGGATGAGGTTGAATATTGTAATCCAAGGCGCAGCCGAGGATTATAACAACCGAATCCGTTATTTGCGTATCGGCCGTGTATCGTTCAAAACTTTCCGTAATCCCGCTGATTACATTTTGATTCCGAGGAAAGTTGAGTTGAGTAAGCATCGGGGGGACTTGTCGAAGTCCAGACAGCTAGACCGCTAGTGTGGGTCCATTGTGTCGCCCCGTGAGCATGGTATCCTTCACAAGAGTCCCACAGCTCTGCCGAAGGCTAGGATGTCGGTAGCCGGGATGTTTGGCGCTTCTTCCGCTGGAAGAGTCGTTTGTCCGAAACTCCGCCATCTGAGCTGTGTTAGCGCAGGACATTCACATATGATGTGGATGGGAGTTTCGTCGTTTTCGAGACATAAACGGCACGTTAGGTCATCGGAGATGCCCAGAATGTTTAGATGTCTGTTAAGGCGGCAGTGTCCAGTTAGTAAACCATTGACAACTCTGCATTGGCTTCTTCGCATATTCAGGAGGGATTGGGTGAGACGTATCGAAGGCCTATCAATGAAGGTCTTCGCCTGCCTCATACCCCTGGATTCAGTCCATTCCCGACAAAACCTCTCTGTCAGAAGTTCTTCAAGTTTTCGCAGTCCTGTGCAGAGAGAAATGGTCACGATGGGCTCTGGGCCCACAGGACGGGCTGAAGAACCTTGCCTTGCTAGAGCATCGGCTCTCTCGTTGCCATCTATCCCGAGGAAAGAATAAACAACGTACCTCGTAATTCTACAGAAAAATCCCAACATCGTGTTGTTATCGAACAGTTAACGGCCGTTGGCCTTTAAACAGTCTTAACGGATGGAGGCTGTTAACATAAACTTTTCAATCGTCATCTGAATACCCTTAAATCGAAATAACAGTATGGGATTACGAAAAGGCACTATGAATTGTGAAAGTCAGATAAATAGACAACCCTAACAGTATGATGATATATTAAGTAATTGATATTGTTTATATGCACCGTCCGGCAGCGCTAGGTTAATGACTTTCAAGATTTAATGATAGGTATTATGCATAATTCATGACATTACATTTTCAAATCAATATAGCAAAATTGTACGCTAAATTCTGGACGCCCTGTATAAATATTCCATAGACAATATAATTATAACAATTTTCATCATTAACTGTTTTCACAACTTTTCTTATAGAACATCCTGCTACCAATCACATTATATACTGTGGAATAGACTCAGAATCAGGAGAATTAGTGATTGTGAGTGAGTGGACTATCCAGGTGGAATCCAAAAATGATTTACCTTATATTCAGAGACAAATTGGTAGTATTGAGCAAGAACTGCACTATCTAGCAAAATTGAAACATCAAAATTTATCACATTATTCTGGGATGAAGTATATTGTGAATGAAAATGAAATAATCATATATTTGTTGAGAGAATTTATCATGGGTATTTCCTCTGGTACTTTTCTGAATCAAACTATCAGAATAGACATGGAATTTCTCAAACATATTTCAAGAGGTGTTTTAACAGCTTTGGATTACTTACATAGAAATAATGTTATTCACAAATACCTGGAAGCATCATGTGTATATATAAATGATCTTGGTGAGAACATTTTTTTATTCATAGACTTAGGAACTAGTCCTTAATATTTTATTTTTTAGGTGTTGTAAGGATTTCCTGTTACAGTATCCACAGAAGATTATTGGATTTAAAATCACAAATTCACAATAATTACAGTAAAAAGACTGATATTTTTAGGTTTGGTATACTAGTATTATCACTCTTACTAGGACATAATGTATCTGAAGAGAACTTTGAGATACCTGATTCTATACAGTCTGATTTGTACGACTTTCTAACTAAGTATGTTTATTTTCAATATTCCTAAACTGCTGGACGAAGGAAGTAGTCCACCAGAATATTTCACTCTGTAATTTTGGAACTATTTTTGTTTCATGTTGAAGAGATTATGTACTTTTTTCCTCATTAGGTACAAGATTCTAGATTTGTCAGGTAAAATCTACACCTACAAGAAAACATTTTGGGATTTTTCTCGTTGACCTTTTGTAATCGATGATGTTTGGATAAACCTATTTCGAGATTTTTTTTACTAGTGGACCCAAAAACTTCCAAGTTTTGTAACCTATGGTGTATCGAAACATTGATATTTTCAATTGGATTCGAGTTAATAACCTGTTTTTCAGTGATTCAAAAATGTTCATTACTTGAAATCAATACTGGGATGGAATTATTTCTTCGTACGTTTGAATTAATCTCAGTTTACAGGAATCAAAAGCCAACACTCTACTATAACCTAAACTCCTACCTTGAAATGAGCAACGAAAAAACCAAAACACATTAAATGTTTTTTGATAGTATAGTATTGAAATAAGTTATTTATGATTTAGTAATATCTCAATTCACAGCATGATTTCATAAAGTATAACTGATATTCACCATTCCAGTGCCGATTTCACACAAAAAATGGATTCACTAGAATATGTAAAAAATATAAACGAAAAAAATAGTGGGCTTACTATTCAGGCCAGCTATCAAATATTATCGAAACCGTTGAGACATATCAAGCAAACTCAACAAAACGTAGAGACAAATAGTTATTTATTATACAAGGGAAAAAAGTAGTAGATTTTAGCTCCAGGTTGTGTTGTCTCCCGACGCGTAGCGGAGGGAGACAAAAAACCGTGAGCTAAAATCTAATATTTTTCCCGTGTATAATACACTATTTTTTTCTGTGACAGAAGGAAGGACGAATAAATATTGGGAAGATATTACATTATTTCGAAATCTGAAAATTATCGACGTGAAATTTCAAGTTTTTAACAGTAGGGACACCTGCGTTTTATAGACATCTTTATCATTCTTTTGAAGTAATCAAATATCTGATGTCACTTCTGTCAGTTCAATTCTGTGATTTGATTTTAAAAAATTGCGAATTCACTATTCAGTAGTTGTTTAGTAATATACGAAACCGTGAAGTTGAATGGAAGATAAAAGGACTTGCAGTTCTTTCTCGGAGACGGTATTATTGACTTATTTTTCGGAACTATAGCACAACAAAAGCCATTAACAGTGTATACAGGGTGTTTCGAAATTCGACCGACAACGCTTGACAGGTGATAGCCCTCGTGATTTCATAATCACTGAGATAGGGACAGACGGTCTTGAAGTGTTCAGTTCTCGAGATACAGGGCGTTAGAGTTAACAAATTAAAATAGTTTTTACGCAATATCTCAAGAACAATTTAACATAATGCATTCAAATTCGGTATATGGTTTCATCTTTCACTGATTAATTTCTTGACCAGAAAGACATTCCGAGAATTTTATCCAGAGATGCGCTACAGAGGGTTGTGATAACTTTTCCTCCCATATTTTCTACGCCACTGATGAAATTTCAATTATTTCCAATTTCTCGAATTGTTTGTTCAGTTATGTTGAAAAAATGCATCACCTTCAACTGAGCTAAAATGAACAGTTATCGGGATATTTGACCCAAAATAGAAGTATGCATAGTAATTTTTCATCTTCCTCGGTAGTAAAAAATTACGAAAATTTTTGTTTTCTCTTCATGTGTGGAATAACTATTTCTGTTCAGCTATGGAATGAGATCTGAATAGTATCTAATCTACTCAACACCAGAAAAATATTTTTGCAATTTTCTACTACTGAAAATGATGAAATATTACTATGCAATCTTCTATTTTGGGTCGAATATCTCGAAAACTGTTTATTTCAGCTCAGTTGAAGGTGATTCATTTTCTGAACAAAATTGAACAATGAATTCGAGGAATTGGAAATAATCGAAATTCAATCAGTGGCGTAGAAAATATGGAAGGAAAAAATGCCACAACCCCCTGTAGGGCACCACTGGACAAAATGTCCGGAATGGCTTCCAGGTCAAAAAATGGCCCATTCAAAGATGAAACCATATACCGAAGTTGAATGCATTATATTCAATTATTCTTGAGATATTGCGAAACAACTATTTTCATTTCTCAACTTCAACGCCCTGTATCTCGAGAACTGAACACTTGAAGACCGAATGTTCCTATCTCAATGATTATGAAATCACGAGGGCTATCACCTGTCAAACGTTGTCGGTCGAATTTCGAAACACCCTGTAGAGTAGAGTAGAGTAGAGTAGAGTTTATTTCCATCAATTTACAGTATGTTTCTGACAGGTCAATACAAAGCAAATATATATATATATAAGATACAAGATATGATAAAACATGACAAGAGAAAAATAAAAATAAAATTTAAATAACTAATTAATGGTACATGCATACATTGCAAACATACATACATACATAACATTGATGAATTAAAAATATAAAGCCAGACGATCAAGATATATAAAATACAATTAGATTAAAAGAATACTGATTGTAGACTAATATAAAACATGAACTAATAAAATAAAAATAAAAATAAAATTGCCAATTAAAATTGAAGGCAATTAACATTCAAGGCAGTGTGAATGGGCAAGCAACTGATCACTGTTCAAAATTGGAATTGAATACAGCATTATCTAGATATTCCTGTTTTGAATAAAAGCAATGTATTATGAAATGGTTTTTCAGAACATTCTTAAATTTGAATTCAGGTAGTTGTCTAAAGCATTCTGGTAAATGATTATAGAGTTTCACATCTAGACTATTATTCCTAGTTATAGCATACTTAACTCTATCAGATCTGAGAGAATTGCATGATCTCGTGTTGTAGTCATGGAATTGAGAGCACATTTTGAATTTATTCTTGTTTCTATGAATTTCAAGTAATGTTTCATAAATATAGAGTGAGGGAAGTGACATTATTTTTAGATTTGTGAATATTGGTTTGCAATGTTCCCTGGGTCCCAAACCAGCCATAATCCTTAATGCTTTTTTTTGTTGTTTGAAGATTCTGTCTGCATTGTGTGAGTTTCCCCATATGGTTATTCCATAACTGATGTGGCTGTGAAATAATGCATGGTAGCATGATTTTAAAATATCAGTTGAGACCAGGGAGAATAAGTTTCGTATTACAAATATGCCACTGGCTAGCTTTTTACTCAAATAGTCAATATGTGCAGACCAATTTAATCTTTCATCAATAATAATTCCAAGTAACTTAACATTGTTACCAGTGCTTAAAGTTGGGTCAGAACTAAAAATTATATTTTGGTTTTTATTCTCATTGAGCTTCAAATTGTTCATTTGAAACCAAGTTTTGACATTTGACATAGTTTCTGAAATGTTGGTCTTTAAATCATTCAAATATGTGATATATATCCGGGAAAGAAGTACTCACTTTTTCCCACGGGAAAAAAGTAATTTATGAAAAGTGACATTTTATAACCTGCCAACAGAGATGAAATGCCAAACTTTTTTCCCGTCACAGAAAAAATAGTTATTTATTATACAAGGGAAAAAAGTAGTAGATTTTAGCTCCAGGTTGTGTTGTCTCCCGACGCGTAGCGGAGGGAGACAAAAAACCGTGAGCTAAAATCTAATATTTTTCCCGTGTATAATACACTATTTTTTTCTGTGACAGAAGGAAGGACGGATCAATATTGAGAAGATATTACATTATTTCGAAATCTGAAAATTATCGACATGAAATTTCAAGTATCTAACAGTAGGGACACCTGCGTTTTATAGGCATCTTTATCATTCTTTTGAAGTAATCAAATATCTGATGTCACTTCTGTCAGTTCAATTCTGTGATTTGATTTTGAAAAAATGCGAATCCAGTAGTTGTTTAGTAATAAACGAAACCGCGAAGTCGAATGGAAGATAAAAGGACTTGCAGTTCTTTCTCGGAGACGGTATTATTGACTCATTTTTCGGAACTATAGCACAACAAAAGCCATTGACAGAGTATATATATGTGATATATATCCGGGAAAAAAGTACTCACTTTTTGCCCACGGGAAAAAAGTAATTTATGAAAAGTGACATTTTATAACCTGCCAACAGAGATGAAATGCCAAACTTTTTTCCCGTCACAGAAAAAACTCCTTTTTTCTTTCAGTTGAAATGTTTTGGACTGTTTCTGATAGTGGGTCTAGATTTCGCATTGTAGATCTCGAATCTTGAACCTTTGGAGAATAAAGTAGGTACTTGTTCCCATTGAAACAAACCGTTCCAGAATCGGAATAGTATTTTTCGAAGTAATCGTTTCTTAATCATATTCAGCAGTTTATTTCACATGAAGTGGTCAAAAGCAGAAAAGGGAGACTTGAAAATTTCATGAGATTTTGAATTGTAGCTTCCGTATATGTGAACCGATTTGAACGTTCTTTGCTAGAATGGAGAGCTTGTTTTACTAGATTCGAAGAATTATTTTGATGTTATTTGATTACTTAGAAAAAAAAATTCATTCGCCCCCTGTTAGTGGCAATATTGTTCTTCTCAAGTTCTGACTGTTATAATATGAAGACTCTTGTGAGTCTTGTGTTTCCTCACTACCGTGTGAAGAAAATTTATATCAATACTCGGGAACTCGAAATACGAAACATTTATTATTATACAGAGAAATGCACAAAAAACGGTAAAATTTGAATTATTCCAGATAGGGTTTTGAAAATTGGTGGGCAGCTAGTATATCAAATTGCTCATTAATTGACGAAACAATTTTTGTTATATCACTTCCGGTTTTACTGGAAACGACCCCAACTTTTGATTTTTAAATGGGACACCCTGTATTGTATTCCATAATCGGTTAGGGATTGTCATAACGAATTTATCCATACCGGGTTTGATAGGGTTATTTCAAACGATTACGCAGGCGTTCTAAGTTTCCATATGCCCAACGAGTGTGACACAGAATGAAGTTTTGATATTGCGAAGTCACACCCGTTGAGCATATGAAAACTTCGAACGTTTGAAATAACCGTATCAAACCCGGTATCGTTGAATTCGTCAAGATAATCCCTAACCGATTATGGAATACAATTGATTATTGATTAATTGATTGATTAATAGCAGAATGATCAGTCAGGGTTCGAAGCCCAAAACACTGTATCCTTTGGGCCTATTGTATTCCTGATCATGCTGTTGACTTAAGTGAACAGGTTCGCTACCTTGATAAGATTTAGCAGCCTCTTCACCAAATCATTCTTTGGAAAGACCTCTTGAGAGTTTACTGCTGCCAGAAGGTTGTATCTCCAACGCGCTAGTGCTTCGCACTCCAATATTACATGGGTGGCAGTTTCCTCCTCCTCATTGCATAGTCTGCATATGGGTTCGTCTGTGTAGATGCCCATTTGATGCATATGTTTCCTCAAGGGGCAGTGACCGGTTATTAGTCCCGTCACTTGTCTGATCTGACTTCTGTTTAGGCTCAGAATGTCGTTAGTCACTGTTTTGGACAGTGTTCCAACCATCAGTTTACTGTGTCTTTGTCCTGGGACATTGTTCCAGTATGCCTGATGTCTTTCTTGCATCCACTTTGCCAGCCAGCCGCGTATTGAGGTTTTGGGGATACCGAACACAGGTTCCGGTCCCATAAACAACGCCGCAGACCCTTGCCTGGCAAGAGCGTCAGCTGTTTCATTGCCTTCAATTCCCTTATGCCCTGGCACCCATTGAAGAGTTACCTTGTTGTGGTTGGCCAGGGTTAGCAGGCTTTGAAGGCAATCCCAGACCAGTTTTGATCTGATTTTATTGCATGTTAAAGATTAAAACTAAAAATAAATATTACATAATTATTCCTTCAAATTTGTTTACATGTACGGAAGCTACAACTGTTCGAAATGTAACGAAATTTCCTTCTCTGGTTTCGACCACTTTAAAGTGTACAATACAATTGTATAAGTATATTTTTGCAGATGTCTGGCAAAAGATGAATCCGACCGTTACACTACAACTCAACTATTGAATCATTCATTTTTCCATAAATCTGTGATACCTTTTTCACCAAAACGTGATCTGGAAGAAATTGAAATTCCTCGAAATAATTCACCTGAAATTATCCAAAGAGATCTGCAGCTTTTATCTCAATCTACCCTAAATGGACAGTCTCGAGTCAACAACGAATTTGAATTTTTACAACACCTTGGCAAAGGAGCCTTCGGAGATGTCATGAAGGTAAAAAAATTAACCTCTTGCTTACTTCAATGCATTTTGTCGATTGATATATTTGAAGATTTTATACCATGATATCCAACAATAAAAACAAAAGAATGCTTTTAATAACTATACAGTTGTCCGGTAATCAATGTTGTTGTATTTTGACCAGATGTAGGGCCACATATCTGACTATATGGACCAGCCATATATTACCATGTACTGGCTAACTGCAGAATTTAGACGGAAGTTTGTTTGCGGTTGCGGATATATACTATCTAGGAATTTATTGGTATCCACATCCAAAACTCATATTGCTCTGCGCAAGACATCACTGGAAGTCTTGTATCGCCTATTCAAATTAGTATTGGCCATAATGTGATTTTGTTGACGTTTTAACCTAATATGGTGCCTAATTCGCGATAGAAAATAAGCGTACTCCACCTACCAGAGTTCTTGAAAGCTGTCAAAGCGGCCTGTTTACTTTGATTTCATTGGTTGACATTTGTACTATTCTGGTAATCACCGCTATACCAGCGCGCATGCTCAGGCACGATATGCAGGCAATGAACTCAATGTAAACACCTGGAAGGGATCCTCTGTTAACGACGAGTGAGGCAAAAATATTGTTCAGGCAACTCGCAGTGGTTACGGATACCTATCTCTTTCTATCTTATGTTGGCTTATGGGCAGCGCTCGCATTATTTGAAATATTTTCTTGTTTTTTCTTTTATTCAAGAATATGTGATTAAATATAAATATTCATTTAGGAAAAAGGATGATGTTGCAATCAATTATTATCGATTTTTATATTGACTCAAAAGTAAAATTCCATTTTTATTCTTACAGGATTAGGAAGACAAATGAATACAAAATTGAAATTATATATTTTCATTCAAATGCCACAATATGTTGTACAGGGTGAGCGAAGCTCAATGTCTCAGCACTGTCAGAAGAAATAGAAAAAGACAATATTATGATGTAGCTCTTGAGTTTAAAAATTTGAACTTGTGGTTTTACCTTCAAAATGTTTTTTTGGTACCTCATCAAGATTGTCATTCTCCTTTTTACTTTTTGTTTCAGTGTTTTCACTTTTCTTTGCAATAGAATAGGCCTTCTCGAATGAAACAGTTTGTGGGTTTCATTATCAATAAACTTTGAAACTTACATGGGAGCTGGAAGTTGTAAGCAAATCAATGTCCATATGAAAAACATTGTCCTTAGAACCCAAGTTATGAACAGACACATCCTGAAAATAAATTACTATAGTTTTTCTAAGAATCTGAACAATTTTCTACTTACCCATGGAGGACAATTTTTGTTTGCCTTGCTAATTTGCATCTAAAGGCAACACAATATAAATAACCATTGTTTATTAATTCGAAATCACAAATCTTCTCAACAATAATCAATTCACACCAACAAATTCAGTCCTTTTGAAGAAACAAAACACGCCAAATTTAGCGATATTTCACATAACAAAAAACAATGAAGTTCTGTCTTCATTTTTTTTTGCCTATTTAGATGAAAAAAAAAAAAGATCCTAAGTACTCCAGTCATTGGATAAAAGAAAATTTGTACACCAATCCACCATTAAACAACACGAGTGTGAAAGAGACAGGTTACCGTAACACAAGCTATCTTTGTTGCAGCTGTCCCTGACACACCTTGTGCTATTCGAGAAACTGGCCGTCTCCCTTCCAGGTGTTTATATTGAGTTCATTGTATGCAGGCCCCACAGGCAGGCAACACATACTTGACGCGCGACCTCGACATAAGACGTTTAATTGTTTAAGCTCGCTCCTAGAAGCAAGAATCTGTATTTATCCTGAACAAGTTGAACCATCTTGAGTTCGAACAGTGTTTTGTTCGAGTAATAACAAACATGCTAATTTGTTTTTTGTTTGTGCTTATTGGCACATCATCAAAATAACCGCTCAGAAGTGTTCAAGGTGTTGCCGTCAGGTGCGGGGCAACGTTTTATTTTCCATCGCGAATTGCGCCATACTCATTGTTTATCGAATCGTTACATATTCGAGGTCGCCGAGGTCATTAGATTACGTTGCGATGACTTTTTTAAACTACAGGAAAATATCCTAACTCCTGGCATAAGGGACGTTCTTTTATTCACCGGCGGCTCCCTCAACCCACCAACTGAGTTCTTATACTCTTTGGTGGATTCCAGTTTGACGTAACCACGCGTTCTTTCATTGCTGTTGTATCAACCAAAATTGCAAACCATTCCACCGATGTACAGAAATGGTGGACGAATTTTGGCGGCTTTCAAAATGACAGCGACAGCATAACCTCAAAAAACTAATAACAACATTTTGGATTTGAAAGCTGTTTGCCATTTGCAAAATATGGATGAATTAATCGAAATCAGCCTAGAATATGAAAATAAAAGGAATTCTGCCTTAATAGCACCAACCGAAATTGAAGACATTTCGAGTGGTAGGTACTTTTTTCTTTCTCATCCTGAATGTCAAGAAATTAGTGCAAACATTCAGGATACTTCAGTACCAACAGAGAATTCTTATCAATGACTTTATCCATATCATTGTCAACCTATCAGAAGAACTGCTAGAACTTCTGGATCTGGAGACAATCATTTTCCCTTTTTCCATTAGTTTTCGCCAATTCTGAGCATCTAATTGAAAACAATCTAAATCCCCATCAAATCACAAGAAAAATAAATAAAGAAAAAAACAGTTGTGTTTGTCATGTCAAATAACTGCTTTTTTTCAACAGTGATGACTCAATTCGATGCATCAGAGAGTGACGTCACTTCCATCAATAATGAAAATGTGGTGTAAAGAAGAACCTATCTGAAAGTAGTTTTTAATGTCGTCGGATGGCATTTGACAACGTCGCCAGTTTCGGAGTATAGCGGTTGTTTCACTGTGGTAGTCAGTGTTACTAGGTCTACTGTTTTTTAACTGGATCTACCGATTTTATAGTGTCAATTACCGTTCTACCCAGTGCCGGTTTAAGGTGATTTGCCGCCTGGTGGCCTTCAGAATCAAAAATATTCCTAATCTTCCAGGTCTTTGGATTTTTTCCCATGACACATTTTTGAGGTGATAATAAATTCTATAGGCACGTTGGACGTTTTCTGGGATGGGAGTAAAACGGCAAACTCGCGTCCCGGGTGCCGCGTACCATAAGACCGGCATAATCATATGAGTAGTGTAACTATACCATAGAAGATCTACGCACACCAGATTTTTTATAGAAGTTTGATGAACATAATGAAAAATATAATATTACAAACAGGATGTTGTGGAATGTAATTGAAAACATAATTCTTTAGTGTTCACCTAATGAGAAACAAGGAAAATTAATAGGTATATGTTAGAATAAAAAAGGAGAATAAAATGATACTAGGCAAGTACGTAACTAGGAACATAAAGTTACAATACAAAAATGTGTTTTCTTGCTTCAATGCAAGCCTTTATGTATGATTCTCTTCACAAGCTCTATAACTTTGTTTCATTTAGTGGATCTTGTTTGAGTTCAGACAAAATTGTTAGCTCAAAAACTTCGAAAACAAATATCCATATTGGGAAAAGAAGATATATCACATTATTCTCGTGTAAAACTTGGACTAACTCCATTTCTGCTTTAGTCTCTATAGGAGAGAAAACTGTTTTTTTTTCAGATGAATAACATTTGTCAGAAACAAATTTGTCCAGATCCTCTGCATACTTTTTTTGTAGTTTAGTTGCCAATTTGATCAAATTTCCATCCTCTGCTGACACTATCTTGAACAGAAAGTCAAATGATTCTGAACAAGATTTGTAGGTGGAAGTCCGACGGAAAATTTCAAATTTGCAACTTTAAACAAAACACTGTGTCTGCCATTTTTCTCTCTGGTTTGAACCTTTTGCCGTATTGTTTCTCCTAATTGTGCTTTTCTTGGATGATTCACTTCTTAACATAAATTTCAGTTTAGGTAGTGTAGTGATCAAATCTTTCGCGTAAAAAATCAAAATATCCATATAATGACTGATGACAAAAGATGTGCAGTTGTATAGCTATAGCACCCAAAAGACACCTGGTAAAACCGGCACTGGTTCTACCGCAGAGTCTCCTTATCTACCGCTGAATTTTTCATTATAACTTTTCAAATTCATTTATACCTAAATAATAACTTTTTATTTGATTTTATTATGATTTGATTTTGTCATCAAAATTATAATACAACATTCATAGAAATGTGACAATTTATTGATCGCGTGCGGCAAAATCTCTATTGCATTAACAACTACGACTTCCATCGCCGACTGCGTTGACTGCGGAGTGCTGATTAAGTAATACATTTTGAATGTTTGGCTTTCGTCGGTGAATCCCATACGAAATGTCGGCAGTAGACGTGAATAGCCAAAATTTGTGGCTACCACAAAATGTTACAGAGTTTTTGTCCTAGATATATTTTTTGAAGCTTAATGATATTAAGTGAGTTCATACAAGACTAATCTACCGCTTTTTTATGTCTACCGCATATCTCATTCTTGACCTGGCAACACTGGCGAAGACGTACGGTATCCGACCGAATCAGTCTCTCTAGCTTGGTTGCCATTCAGCTTCCCTATAATATGTAACGATTTGGTAAACTTTCTGTATACAGGGTGTCCCGAAATTATATAGAATGATTTGAATCACAGATTCTAGAAACAAAAATAGTGAGAAAAGTTCATGTAAACATGGGTCCAAAAATGGCCCCTGAGGGGTTATAGCCATTTGAAGGAGATCCCAAGGTGATCGAATTTTGTGAATATTTTCGAAACCTGTAATAGAATGATGATATACAGGGTTATCCATCTAGAAGGTCCACCCCTATATTTACGTTTTTATTCTGAAAAAAAAAGATATGCGGGAATTGAATGCCGCAATAAAGCCTTTCCACAGCCCTCATCAGAAGTTTTACAGAGCAATCCCTAAAAGCATGACAAGCCACAAATTAATTTTTTCAAATGGAACACCCTGTTTTTTATATATTTTTCGGAATCTGTGGTTTT